CCTCCTATCAGCTCTTTATACCCCTCTATCGACTCTTTATACCCCTCTATCGGCTCTCTATACCCCCTATCGGCTCTATATACCCCTCTATCAGCTCTTTATACTCTCTACCGGCTGTTTATACCCCTCTATCGGCTTTCTATACCCCCTATCAGCTCTTTATACTCTCTACCGGCTCTTTATACCCCTCTATCGGCTCTTTATACCCCTCTATCGGCTCTTTATACTCCTCTATCGGCTCTTTATACCCCTCTACCGGCTGTTTATACCCCTCTATCAGCTCTCTATACCCCCTATCAGCTCTTTATACTCTCTACCGGCTCTTTATACCCCCTATCGGCTCTTTATACCCCCTATCGGCTCTCTATACCTCCTATCAGCTCTTTATACTCTCTATCGGCTCTTTATACTCCTCTATCGACTCTTTATACCCTCTACTGGCTCTATATACTCCTCTATCGGCTCTTTATACCATCTATCGTCTCTTTATACCCCTTTATCAGTTTGATATACCCCTCTATCAGCTCTTTATACCCTCTATCAGCTCTTTATACCATCTATCGTCTCTTTATACTCCTCTATCAGCTCTATATACCCCTCTATCAGTTTGATATACCCCTCTATCAGCTCTTTATACCCTCTATCGGCTCTTTATACCATCTATCGGCTCTTTATACCCCTCTATCAGCTCTATATACCCCTCTATGAGCTCTATATACCCCTCTATCAGCTCTATATACCCCTCTATCGGCTCTTTATACCCCTCTATGAGCTCTATATACCCCTCTATCAGCTCTTTATACCCCTCTATTAGCTCTTTATACCCCTCTATCAGCTCTTTATACCCCTCTATGAGCTCTATATACCCCTCTATCAGCTCTATATACCCCTCTATCGGCTCTTTATACTCTCTATCGGCTCTATATACCCCTCTATCAGCTCTATATACCCCTCTATCGGCTCTATATACCCCTCTATCAGCTCTATATACCCCTCTATCAGCTCCTTATACCCTCAGCTCGTTTTGTCTCCAGTGGTCCTCTCACATTCCTTCACACATCAGATTTTTTCTCCTCTCAGTAACCTAGCAACCTGAGGGCATGGTAACCTAGCAACATGTGAACACATGTCAGCCAGCTGTAGGTTGTTTCTGTTTTGGATGGTGAGCTGCCGGCGTGTAGGCCGACGCCTCCTCCTCCTCCTCCTCCTTCACACTGCAGCAGCTGTCTTCACTCAGCGTGGGTTTGACTGCAGATTACAAAGTCGCAACATCAACAACAGGACGGAGACACCAGGAGACCGAGACACAGAGACAGTGGACATGTGTCTGTTCTTATTGTTCTGGAACATTTACAACACACAGCCTTTAAATCGGTTATTAAATGTATCACACATTAACCACACGGGGAGAACATGTTAACTCCACACAGAGGGGCTCCCTCCCGGGGCTCGAACTTTCGAACCAGGAATCCTCCTGCTGTGAGAAGACAATGCTAACCACTGCTCCACTGTGCCGCCTGAACAATAAAAATTTGGTAAAAGTTGAATTCACTGCAGAGTTGTTGTATTTAATTGCATTGGGTTGAACTTACCTCATGCTGCCCCGCCCACTTTTGCCAGTGTATATTTCCTGTTGCCTTACCTCGTGGGATGCATAGCAATATACACAAATTTAATCGTAATATGAACGTATTATTTAAATATAGGTCAGATTAAAGGATCGCTAAGTGTTACGGTAAGGACACGTTATAAATACTTAAGAGGAAGCGCTGATCTTTAGCTTGTCTTTCTTGAATTTAAAAGTCACTGAGCTAATCTTATGTCTGTCAGCACTGAGACTAAGGTTGTTGGACATGGACAAAAGTGGAGTTTGGACCCAGAAGATAATTCATACATTTCATTAAATCAAAATATTTTGTCATAATGTCTTTGTTTCGAGATGTGGAATAACACTGTGTGTTTATTTATTAAGCATTAAATGACAAATTTACAAATAATTCAAAATTTCACCGTTTGGACTTGGGTCTTGCTGGCAGTTGGAGAAACACCTGTAAATTGACCACTAAGGGGCAAACACACATGCAAAAAATTCAAATTTCTGCTCTGTCTCTGTTGTCTCTGCTACGACTCTGTTGTCTCTGCTACGTCTCTGCTACGTTTTTGTTGTCACTGCTACATCTCTGTTGTCTCTGCTACGTCTCTGCTACATCTCTGCTCCATCTCTGTTGTCTCTGCTACATCTCTGCTACGACTCTGTTGTTTCTGTTCCGTCTCTGTTGTCTCTGCTACGACTCTGTTGTCTCTGCTACATCTCTGCTACGACTCTGTTGTCTCTGCTGTCTCTGCGTCATAATGACAGAGTGTGTGTTTGTGCATCCTCCAGGACCTGATGGAGAGTGACAACATCACTCTGGACTGGATGTTCAGATACTCTCTGATCACCGACATCGTCAAGGTAACACATCCTCATCCTCTTCATCATCATCATAAGGTATACTTTATTGATCCCCCAGAGGGGAAATTCAAAGTCATCATCATCATCATCATGTGACCATGTTGTGTTTATTGTTGTTGTTGCTGTTATTTGTTATCAGGGCATGTTGTTCCTCCACAACAGTGTCATCGTCTCCCACGGCAACCTGAAGTCCTCCAACTGTGTGGTGGACAGTCGCTTCGTCCTGAAGATCACCGATTATGGTCTGGAGAGTCTGCGCACCGCCAGCTGCCCCGAGGACACGCATGCCTACTATGCACGTACGACTACACACACACACAAACATTTTCTATTCACAAACAAACAAACAAACAAGCACCTCCATGTGACATCAGAAACACCTCAAGCACCTGAAACTGTGTGTGGTGAAACCTGATTTACCTGAGTGTGACCTTCCCCGCAGGTAAGCTGTGGACGGCTCCGGAGCTGCTGAGGACAGAGTGTCCTCCCCCCTGTGGGACACAGAAAGGAGACATCTACAGCTTCAGTATCATCCTACAGGAAGTGGCACTGCTGCGCGGCGTCTTCTACCTGGACTCACACATCCTGACACCAAAAGGTCCATCTATGTTTTCTTAAGATACAGTGTGGGGACTACAGTCAGGTTTGGGGACTGTGTTCAGGTGTGGGTACTACAGTCAAGTGTGGGGACTAAGTTCAGGTGTGGAGACTACGTTCAGGTATGGGGACTACAGTCAGATGTGGGGACATCAGTCAGGTGTGGGGACTACGTTCAGGTGTGGGGACCACGTTCAGGTGTGGGGATCACGTTCAGGTGTGGGGACTACAGTCAGGTGTGGGGACGTCAGTCAGGTATGGGGACTACAGTCAGATGTGGGGACATCAGTCAGGTGTGGGGACTACGTTCAGGTGTGGGGACCACGTTCAGGTGTGGGGACCACGTTCAGGTGTGGGGAC